TGCCCTGCTATGACTGTATTGCTGTCATTCTCTCCCTTACAGTCCTCCAGGAGTTTTAAAATATATTTTGGTGCTCCTATATTGGGTATATATATGTTTACCAGGGTTATATCTTCTTTTTGGAATGACCCCTTAAGTATTATATAGTCACCTTCTTTGGCTCTTGTTATGGCCTTTATTTTGAATTTTAATTTGTCAGATATGTAAATTGCTACCACTGCTTTTCTCTAGTGCTTTTTTTTGCATAGAAAACTTTTTCCGTCCCTTCATTTTCAGTCTGTGTGAGTCTTTTGTTCTGAGGTGCCTCTCTTGAAGACAGCATATATCTGGGTCATGTTTTCTTTTTATTTATTCATTTATTTATTTTAATCCTCATCTGAGGATATTTTTCCATTGATTTTCAAAGAATGTGGAAAAGAGAGAGAGGAGAGAGAGAGGAACATTGATGTGAGAAAGACACATTGATAGATCACCTCCAGCTCTTGCCCTGACTGGGGTGGAGCCTGCAACCGAGGTATTTGCCCTTGATGGGAATCAAACCTGGGACCCTTCAGTCTGCAAGCCTTTGCCTTAACTGCTGAGCCAAACCAGCGAGGGCTGGGCCATGTTTTCTTATCCATTCAGCTACCCTAAGTCTTTTGATTGGAGCATTTAATCCATTTACATTTATGGTTATTATTGATGGGTTCTTATTTACTGCCATTTTTATTCTTTATGCCTATGTTCCTCTCTCCATCTCTATTTCTTCTTTTTCTTACAATAGCTCCTTTAACATTTCTTGCAATGTTGGTTTGGTGGTTATAAACTCCTTTAGCCTTTTTTGTCTGGAAAGCTCTTTAGTTCACCTTCAATGCTGAATGGTAAACTTGCTGGATAGAGTAGTCTTGGTTTCAGATCCTTGCTTTTCATTACTTTGAATACTTCATGCCATTCCCTTGAGTCCTATAGTGTTTCTGTTGAGAAATCAGCTGACAGCCTTATGGGAGCTTCTTTGTAGGTAACTGGCTCTCTGTCTCTTGCTGCCTTTAAAATAATTTCTTTGTCTTTAACTTTTGCCATTTTAATTATGATGTGTCTTGCTGTGGGTCTCTATGTTTATTTTGATTGTGACTGTCTGTGTTTCCTGAACTCCTGTGACTTTTTCCTTCACCAGGTTAGGGAAGATTTCTGTCATTATTTCTTCAAACAGCTTCTCTATCCCTTGCTCACTTTCTTCTCCCTCTGTTACTTCTATGATGAGAATGTTGCACCATTTCATTTTGTCCCACAGTTCCCTTACACTGTCCTCAGGCTTTTTAAGTATTTTTTCTCTTTGATGCTCTAATTGAGTGATTTTTTTCTACCTTGTCTTCTAATTTGCTGATTTGGCCTTCAGCCTCTTCTAACCTACTGTTGATTCTCCATTTTTGCTGTTTCTTTGTGTTTGTTCTGTGTATCAGATAAGACCGCTGTCTCCCAGTTTTTGTGGGGTATGATCTAAAAAGGAAATTGAGAAAATATTTCCATTTACAATAACATCAAAATGAACCAAATTACTTAGAAATACATTTAACCCAAACTACAAAACATTGCTGAAAGAATTTAAAGAAAACCTACATAAACTGAAAGATATCTCATATGCGTGGAACATTCTATGTTTGTACATTGGAAGGCTCAATATTGTTGAAATGATAATACTTCCCAAATTGATCTAAAACCTTTCTGAAAATTGTAAAGGCCTTTCTCCCCCTAGAAAAGTGAAAGTCAATCCTAAAAGTCATATGGAATTGAAAGGGACCATAATAAGCCAAAACAATCTTGAAAACTTATGGTTCTGAATAGCTCTCACTTCGAAATTTCAAAACTTAATACACAGCTATAATAATCACAAAAGTGTGGTACTGGAAGAAGGATACACACACACACACACGCACACAATGGACATCTCCACTGATGAACATTTCGGTTTACGAACGCTGTAAACCCGGAATTAAATGCTTCACTTTTCAAACATGCCTCAGACAGAAGTCAAACATGCCACATGGCTTCCACTGAGTGCAAGATCCTGAGGCCTAGTTGTCAGCTGTTGATCCCTCGGTTTTCAAACGTTTCAGAGCTCGAACAGTCTTCCTGAATAGATTACATTCGAAAACCGAGGTACCACTGTGTGTGTGTGTGAGTGTGTATGTGTATAAATAAATAAATAAATAAATAAATAAATAAATAAATAAATAAACATATATATATATGCTGGTGGGATAAAATTGAAAGTCCATAAATAAACCCATATATCTATGGTCAGTTGATTTTTGACAAGGGTGCTAAGACAATTAAATGGGCTAAGAATTGTATCTTCAACAAAGAGTTCTGGGAAAACCAGATATCCATGCACAAAATAATGAATTTGGTCTCCTTCATCACACCAAGCATCATAATTAACTCAAAATGGATCAAGGACTTAAATATAAGGCTAAAAACATTTAAAAACACATAGGAGTACATTTTCATGACACTGGATTTGGCAGTGTTTTCTTAGCAATGGCATCAGAAGTACAAGCAATAAACAAAACAAATACATAATTGAATTTCATAAAAATGTTAAACTTGCATACATTAAAATTACTGTAAGAAAGTAAAAGGATCCCAGCCAGTGTGGCTCAGAGGTTGAGCATCAACCTGTGTTCCAGGAGATCACGGTTTGATTCCTGGTCAGGACACACACCCAGGTTCTGGGCTTGATCCCCAGTAGGGGGTATGCTGAAGGCAGCCAACCAATGACTCTCTCTCATCATTGATGTCTCTATCTCTCCTTCTCCTTTCCTCTCTCTGAAATCAATAAAAACATATATATTTTTTAAAAATCTGCGGATTGAAAAAAAAAAGAAAGTGAGAAAATATTCTCCAGAGAAAGGGAGAAAATATTTTCAAATCGTGTATCTGAGAAGGACCTCATATCCAGAATTTTAAAGAATATTTACAACATAACAAAAGACAAACAATCCAATTTAAAAGTGAACAAATAACTTCAGTGAACATTTCTCCAAAGAAGGTACTCAAATATCAAATACATGAAAAGATGCTTACAATTATTAATTATCAGGGAAATGAAAATTGAAACCGCAATGAAATACTACTTCACACCCACTAAGATGGCTGTAATGGGAAAAAAAAGGGTTGAATCACTTCTAAAATAAGTATTTTCCCCACAGATTTATAATCTCACAGTGTCAAAATACTAAATTCCCATTATAATTATAGTAATTGTTTTGATTATAGGTTTGTGTCTAGATTATCCTGTTCAAGAGAACAGATTAATAATTTGTGTGCAAGCATCATTTATAAGCTTCTGTTTAAAAACCTAAACATCTAAGCATTGGAGAGAATGGGTAAATTATGAAAATATCTTTATGCTGATTTTAATGAAAGTACTATAAAAATGTTTAAGACAATATCTAATAAGCTGAGCAAATGTCTATTCTACGTAGAAAAGAGCACACCATGAAAATGCATATGCAAAATTATTCTAGTTTTGTAAGAGCTTATTAAAAAGGCAATGGAAAGTGTTCATATTTTGCTATCAGGTGTGTGGAATGGGAGGCGAGCTTGCACTTGCTTATTTTTTTCATGTCAATTTTTTAAATTTAACACCATGCCCACATTGGGCATACAATTCTTTTGCAATTGATGAGAGAGAGAGAGAGAGAGACAGAGAGAGACAGAGAGAGAGAGAGAAGAAAAAAAATTATCCTCAAGAAGTAAAGTCTGGAATGACCAGTCAGTAAAAATTACCTAGAGATCACCCAGCTGGGGTGGCTCAGTGGTTGAGAATCGACTTATGATCCAGGAGATCCAAGTTCGATTCCCTGTCAAGGCACATGCCCGGGTTGCAGGCTCCATGGGGGGGAAGGGTTGCAGGAGGCAGCTGATCAATGATTCTCTCATCATTGATGTTTCTATCTCTCTCTCTCCCTTCTTTTCTCTGAAATCAATAAAGATGTATTTAAAAAAAAATTACCTAGATATTGATTGAGTCAAGGCCGCAGACTGAGCACTAGTGCATTTCTCTCATTCTACCACAAATCTCTTTAAATGAAAGGGCAGGATTCTGTATATAAAGAATAACTCCAGAAAAGCACAGGGGAAAAGAAAGG